CAGCTCCTCATCCAGACGCCTCTTGAACACTGCCAGGGACGACGGCTCCACCACCCCCCTGGGCAGCCATTGCAGTGCCTGACCACTCTGAGAGAAAAAGTTCTTCCTTATGTCCAACCCAAACCTCCTCCGGTTCAACTTGCGGCCATTTCCTCAGGTCCTGTTTGTTGCCTGCGAGAAGAGGCCAAACCCCTCCTCACCACAGCCTCCCTTCAGGAAGTTGTAGAGTGCAGTGAGGTCTCCCCTGAGCCTCCTCTTCTCCACACTGAACAATCCCAGCTCCCTCAGCAGCTCCTCATAAGACCTGTGCTCCAGACCCCTCACCAGTTTTGTTGCCTGTCTCTGGACACGTTTCAGGGCCTCAATGCCTTTTTTGTAGTAAGGGGCCCAAAACTGAGTGCAGTACTCGAGGTGCAGCTCACCAGTGCTGAGTACAGGGGGATGATCACCTCCCTGCTCCTGCTGCCCACACTATTTCTAATGCAGGCCAGGGTAGCACTGGCCCTCTTGGCCACCTGGGCACACTGTTGGCTCACATTCAGAGACACACAGACAAGGATACCTGCAACTGAATGAACTGGGCTGCTGTGCTGCACCTCATGCCCTTACAGTGGCTGCTAGTGTTTTATGCTAGCTTTGTTAGAAAGCTGTGCTAACCCAAACTTCTGCTGGTGCCATACTTGGTTTTGTTTAAGTGAGGAGCTCTGTATTGGCACAGCTGCCCAGGGAGGTGCTGGAGTCACTGACCCTGGGGGTTTTCCAGAGCCATGGAGATGTGGCACAGAGGGATGTGGTTTAGTGGGAATGGTGGGGGTGGGCTGAACGAATCATGTCATAGAATCATAGAATGACCTGGGTTGCAAAGGACCACAATGATCATGTAGTTCCAACCCCCTGCTAAATAAAGGGTCGCCAGCCACCAGACCGTGCTGCCCAGAGCCACATCCAGCCTGGCCTTGAATGCCTCCAGGGATGGAGAATCCACAACCTCCTTGGGTAACCTGTTCAGTGCCTCACCACCCTCTGGGTGAAAAACTTCCTCCTAACATCTAACCTAATATGAATGATCTCAGAGGTCTTCCCAGCCTTAATGATTCTGTGATTTTTGTATTTCTGTGTATACGTTCATCATTGTTAATTTCCAGCCAAAGGTGAAATCTTTGTTCTTTTTTGTTCTTCTGTAGTCGGATTGGGGAAGGACTTGAACAAGCTCTGCCCAGTCTCACAGAGCTCATTCTTACCAACAACAACATATCTGAACTGGTAAGTTATTGATGCAGAAAACATCTTAATGGCTCTAAACTGTGCGTTTTTGTCACCTTTCTGATTAGTTTTTTCTTCAGAATGATGTGAATTTGGTAGTCGTGGTGGTGCATGTATCCTAATGAACATCATTTGCAGCATGCAGTGGAGCAGCAGTCAAAGTCTTGGTGGGCTTCCTGCTAAACTAACTGTAGTAATTCTGCTTGGTCTCTAAAATGCAAACGAGAGTCCCCTAAGGAGCACTCAGGGAAGTGACCTCAATACCTTGAAATGAAATATTTTAGGTCTAATTTTGGACTGAATAAACAGCCCCTGGTTTTGTTGTGGTTTTTTTTTTTTTAAGATATGAAAATGCACTTTGAACTTTTTTTGTCTCTTACTCAAAAGTAGAAAACCTAAGAGCACAATTTCTCATGTTCTTCCTTTGAATTAATGAATTCATAAGCAAGGTGCCTTAGTGCAACTTTATTGGTTTTGTTGCTGTCTTATGTGTAGAAATTAGATTTGAATCCATTTATGCAGATTTAATAGCCAGCAGGTCTGCTTGAAGCTTACAATTCTTAGTTATGTGTTAGGACTGAAACTTGCTTTGTTACTGTCTTGGTTTTTTTCCTTTTTCTGGGATGTGTGTTTTCCATAGTGAAACCAAACCTCTTCAGTTTTAAATTGCATACAGTGCCATTGAATGGAACACTGTTGACTCACTGCAGTCATTTGCCACAATGGTACAAATGCTGCTGTTTCCAAACAAGTGAGCTTGAAAGGAGTGGGGGATTTTAGTTCCTCTTTCAGAGCCAGGAGCTCAGGAGCTTCGTTCTGAAATATTTGATGGCTGTGAAATGGATTTGAGATTCTTACTCTGTTCTTCCCATTGCATAGGGTGAACTGGATCCACTGTCAAGTATTAAATCGTTGACTTACCTGAGGTATGTCATCCTGAAAAGAAAAGCCACTGTTTGTAATTTATTGTAATATATTTCAAACTAAGTAACTCTTGATGACCTTTATTTGCCTTGTAGCATTTTAAGGAATCCAGTAACAAATAAGAAGCATTACAGATTATATGTTATCTACAAAGTTCCCCAAGTCAGAGTGCTGGATTTTCAGAAAGTGAAACTCAAAGTAAGTCTGCCACCTTCTGATTGAACACCAGATGGAGACCTTTTCTCCTGTTAACTCTTGGGACTGTAGTGAAAACAAGGAGCTTTTTGCCCCAGTTGTAAACTGTATGAAACTCTGTGTCCTGCGAGGCTCTGAAAGCCATGCTTCTCTTTGATGGTTTCACACTGTTAAGGATACAGTCTGCTTCATTAGTTTTAATATGTTTTGCTGCTGTTGTTTGTTTAGTCTGACTTTTCTGGCTGCTAACAGTGGTGGTAAGACAAACCTAGAGAAAGGAATGAGAGATGACAGCAGAGCCCTCTGCTTTCCCTGTAGAAGCGTGGGGTTGTTGTTGCAGGAGCACTGACGTGATGCACCTCGAGTGCAGTGTGGCAGTGTGTTGGTGCTTGTTTTTATGCCTGCTCTCCTCGTGCTGTTGTTCACTGAAGATGAGCCAGAGCATCTTTCTTTGCAAAGACAGCAGCTTTGCACAATGCTACGTTCTCAAATTAACTTTGTGTGTGTGGTATCGCTGTAGGAGCGACAGGAGGCAGAGAAAATGTTCAAGGGCAAACGGGGTGCACAGCTTGCAAAGGATATTGCCAGGAGATCCAAAACGTAAGATAAAACAAACACTTCCACTGGCATTCTCCTTCAGAAACACCACTTTGTGTGCAGCATTACGACTGCCCTGAGACATCCCTAGTTTTTGGATGGTGGTGAACACATCTCAGAAATCTGGTCAGGGTGGGTTGCTGTATATCAGTATGCAGGAAACTTCTTGGTTTTTTGCTCTTTGTTACTTTACTGCAGAGAGGTGGCTGTTGTTTGCTCAGTTTTGATTGGGAACTGAAAAATCTGATTTGCCAGTGACTGTGAACATTTGAAACTGTTAACAGATGGGCTCACGATGGTTTGTGAGTGGAAATGATTGAGGTCTGTGATAGCATTAGAGCAAGTAAATCACTGAACTAAATACCCAATAAACACACCAAATGTCCATGTGCAGCTGCAGGAGAGGCTGCAGGTCTCTGAACTGGGTCACTATTTCAGGAAGTTCTTTCCAGCTGTGTGCTCTGTGACTTCCATTTTCAGAGACAGATGTGTTCTCCTAACATAGGCTTATGTATGGGCTGTCACAATATCCCATTAGACATGTCAGAAGAGGAAATCCAACTTCATTTACTCTGTCTTTATCCACTCTGCTTTCTGTAATGGTAACAGACCTCCCGTGTGTTCAACAACATCCAAATCCAACGGCTTTTGTCAGCTACTTGCTTATAAAATGTCAGTCTGCCTCTTGTTATGAGCAGATGAAAAGATGGGAGGGGGGATGGGACAGCGAGGACAAGTGGTTGGTGTTTCTGAAGGAGGCAATTCATCACTGTATCAGTTTGTTAACAAAGATAAGATACTACACTTGATTGAATGAAATGCTTCCAAACCTGGTTTGGAAGTAAGAGAAGCACGCACTCCTCCCAGGGAGTAATGGCACCTCTTTGCTTTTTCCTCTGAAGCTTCAATCCAGGCGCTGGTCTGCCAACAGACAAAAAGAAAGCCGGGCCCTCGCCGGGTGATGTTGAGGCAATTAAGGTGAGTGTGCTCAACAGCGCTCAGACAAAAGCAGAGGAAAACAATTGGGAATCCCAACTGAAGAAATGTTTTCTTCTTCCTGGCAACGGCTGACTGTTCAGATGAGTAGAACAGAAGGCTGTTTGTTCTAGGTGCTTTTTCTGTAGCTTCTATCGTGTCATATGGAAAACTTAACTACAACTTCGTGAGCCTAGAGCTTGCCCAGGACGCCTCAGCTTGTGTAACTGGGGGGAACAAGACTGTGCTTGGCTTAACTTACCTGCAAAACAAAACCAACTTGCTGTGTTTATTCTCTGTGGGCTGATGTGCTGCACGTGAAGATTCACTGTGCTCCTCTTTCTGTTTTTCAGACTGCCATAGCAAATGCCTCAACATTGGCTGAAGTGGAGAGGCTGAAAGGCTTGCTGCAAGCCGGCCAGATCCCCGGCAGAGAACGAAAACCAGGTGACAGTGCTGCTTCTCTTTCCTAAACAGAACCCCCCTCTTTCGATTCCTTCGTGTGATCTCAACAAGGAGGTTACGCTGGGAGGGCGTTGAAAAACCTCACAGATGTGAGATGGCTGTGATTTGCTGGTTGGGATGGCACAGGACCACCTCCCTCGGTCCGTGCACTCAGCGCGCGATCTGCCCGGCCGGCAGAGCGTTCACGGCCGGACCCGCATCTCGCGTGCAGCACCAGACTCACAGCGTGCGCTCATCGCGCTGCGTTCCGCTCTCTTACAGGCTCGGCCGAGGACGCCGAGGAGGAGATGGAGGAAGATCCCGTCCCCACCGGCTCGTAGCTCCCGCCGACGCCGAGCTGCCCACGTGGCGTTGTGCCGCGCCGCGCTCAATAAAGCGCCGTGCCCGCTCTGCCTGTGCCCCGCCTACTTCCTGCATCCGGGGGGAGAGGCTAGCTCTGCGATTGGTCCTTCGCCTTTCCCTTCTTCTTATTGGTCTATGCGGCTGTGATGTCATCTCTATCGTTTGTCTATTGGCTCTCTGTCCGCCAGGCGGCAGAGGACGGGGAGGGCGGTGATTGGCGGAGGGGCGGCTCCCGGACGTGAGGCGGCAGCGGGGCCATGGAGCTCGGGGACCGCGGCGGAGCCGGGCCGGGCCCGGGGAAACCGGCTGTGGAACGGGAAGGGCTCGAGCTGCTGCAGCACACGGGTGGGGCCGGGGTGGAGACGGGGAGCGGTGGGGTGAGGGGAGCGGGTGAGGAGAACCGGGCGTGAGGCGGGGGGGCTGGGCCTCGGGGGCGGCGGTGTGAGGAGCCGCGGTTGGAGCCGCGTTGTCCGGCCTGCCTCGGGCGGCGGTGGTCCGTGCTGAGGGGCCGCGAGCGACGCTTCGTTCCCCTCCCAGTGGGCGCCCTGCTGTCGAGCTATGGCTGGTACGTCCTGCTGGCCTGCGTCGCCATCTATCTCGTCGTGCAGAAGATTTCCTCGCGGTGGGGGATGAGGCCCAGCAGCCAGCGAGGAGCAGCTGGAGCAGACATAGGTTTGTACGGCGCTGAGGGCTGTGTGCTCATCCTGGCTGTCGGCTTCCGGGTGCCTGCGGGGGGCTGCTCAGCTGTCTGACAGCTGTTCGGTTCCACACGTGCAGAATGCTGCTTCATGGCAGCGAGAAGGTATTCTGCAGAGGGGGATCTTAACGCTGGGCTGTGTCCACAGAAAGGCAACGAAGCTGTGAAGGAGCGCAGTCTTGTGGAGAGCAGCTCAGGGAACTGGGCTGTCTGGAGTAAAGGAGGCTCAGGAATCCTTATTGCTTTCTGCTGATCCCTGAGAGGAGGGTGTGGTGTTGGGGGGGGGGGTTCAGCCTCTGCTCCCAGGTAACAGCAATGGGATGGGAGGTGAAGGCCTGACGTTGGACCAAAGGTTGGATGTCAGGAAAAAAAGAGCAGTGGTGCGTTGGCACGGGCTGCCCAGGGAGGTGGTGAAGTCACTGTGCAGAGATGTTCAGGAGCTGTGGAGATGTGGGGCTGAGGGACGGGGTCAGTGGGCGCAGTGGGATGGGTTTGGGGTGCTCTTGGGCTTGGTGAACTCAGGGGTCTTTCCCAACCTTAATGAGCCTATGATTGTAAGGTCTGCAAAACTGTACAGATCTTTTTGAATAGCAACAATAAGGAAAGTTTAAACCAAGAGAAATGCCTCTAAAAGTCTGTAATGTGACGGGATTGGGGCACGAAGTAATGAGATTGGGAGAAAAGGAGCAGGGCAGTGCAAGGGAATAACTGCTCTGACAGTGCAGGATTTTAGAGAGCCACATGCTTTAAAGGAGCTGCAGTCAAGTATAAAAAGAGAATTCTCAAAGAAAAGCAATAGCTAAAGGCTTGAAAAAAGCCAAACTTTTGGTTAATATTCATTGTCTCTATGAATTATTCCTTCACAATTCCTACTCCATTAGGATTGTGTACCTTTGGGGTGTATCTGCCTCTGGCTTGTGTTGCCCTTTAAGTGTGGCAGAGGTTGAAAATCTCACAGGGTTATGGTCTTGCCTCTCTTGAAGACTTGTTGCTGTAAATCATGGTCTTTCCTTATGGATCTGCTGAAAGAATGAGTGATTGGCATTAATCCCTCTGGCACGCTGGCCTCAGAAAATGTTATTTACATGCCTTTATTCTGCTGATGGTCTTTTGTGTCATAATTGAATCTTGGTTCAATTGCCAGATCTGCCTATAAAACAAAATTCCTGAAACCACTTGAATTTCTTTTTCACATTTGTTGGGTGGTAACAAACACTTAAGGAGTCAAACAAATGTTGGAGATACTTCAGTAACTGGGGAAAAAAGAAAAAGGTGATATTTACCCTTGGTTTGGGTAGCATCTTTCTTTTAACTTCTTCATAGAATCACAGAACGGCCTGGGTTGCAAAGGACCACAGTGATCATCCAGTCCCAACCCCCTGCTGTGTGCAGGTCACCAACCAGCAGCCCAGGCTGCCCAGAGCCACATCCAGCCTGGCCTTGAATGCCTGCAGGGATGGGGCATCCACAGCCTCCCTGGGCAACCTGTTCAGTGCCTCACCACCTCTGGGTGAGAAGGCCAATCTTCTAAAGGCCGATGGTGAAGGGAGGCAGTTTCTTAATGTAGGTTTCCCAAGGCTGCCAGTTTTCTGTTGAGATATGTTTGACATTTGTGAGTAATTTCCCTGCTGATAGAGCATGTTAAATGTGCCTCTGCTTTGCTGCTGTAACCCAAGCAGCAGCAGCAATTCCAAGGAGGAGGAGGAGTGGATGTGGGCTGATTGCCTTCTGCTTCTGCATCAAACAAGTTCTGTGGATAAAAATGGGATTCCTGTGAAGCATGGATGATATTTCTGAAGTTGTATTGAGCAAATGCTTCAGAAATAGAAGCAAATATCCTAGATGCTCGGATGTTAATTTTGTATGGGTTTGTTCCATCAGTGTCCATGTTCGTTAAAAGCTCGTTAAAGCAATTGCTCTAAAAATATTCAAATATGAAATTTAAATCAGCATATGAGTTACTGTAAAAAATCAGCTGCAAACTGAACTTGAGCTGTGATTTTCTGTGGAGCTGCTGCAGTGAGAGATGTGTGCCTTTCCTTATTGTGGTTCTTTCAGGATACCGTTTAGAGTCCATTTTAAACTGCGTTGCAAACTCTCTGACTATTCCCTAGAGCCTGACATGGTGGTAAGGAGACAAGAAGCTTTGTTGGCATCTCGTCTGAGGATGCAAGAGGAGCTGAATGCACAAGCAGAAAGATACAAAGAAAAACAAAGACAGGTAACTGGAGAGCTGTTCTTTCTTTAACTCCCTAACTTGTCATCAGGTGCTTTGCTGCTGCTGTAGAAAGCTGCATACCATGCTAGATACCAGAAGAATTGGATCCCTCTGCTGGGATGGGGGAGGTGGGATTCTTCTCCCTCCTTCATCCGATCTGCTTTTCATATGGTTGATGCACTTTGTGATAACAGGCATTAGGTATCATGATGGCCGTTCAGTGTACTTGTATGATGTGTTGGCCTGAGGTCCTCCTGCTCTTAGTTAATGAGAGTGATTGATATGGTTAGTGTTTTGCTCATTCTTGACGTGATTAATGCTTCTCTGCAAGAATGTATTTGGCTGGAACACTTTGGGCCTTGCCATCTTGGAGTTGTAAATCAATGTAGAAGAGTGGATGTGATCAGCAAAACACTAATATTGCTCATTAATCCTGGTTCTTTCATCTTTGCTTCTGAAATCAGCTACATCCAGATTTCAGCTTATAACTGACACTTCCAGAAGCATAGCTGGTTATCTTGCTAATTTGAAAAGCACCTTTTGCTTTGTAGAACCCTTCACTGTGCATCCAGTGACCATCAGATGCAATGCTTCGTCCTTTCCATAGACTAATGATTTAAGCTGGCCACTCAGTTTTATTGTACTTTCAAGCATCAAGGTGTCAGAATAAGCTGCAGTCCAAATCTGTATGTGCTGGGGAAAGAGGGGTTGCTGTTCTGACCTAGGGAAAGCTTGAGCATTTAGAAAGTCAATGCTTCTGTAAGCTGAGATACTGCATCAGGTAAAGATGGATCCAGTGGCTTTTGTGTACCCTGCTGTAGCTGTTCCTGTAGCAATGGCAACTGATGCTAAAATCTTAGTCTGATGTGTCCTCATTTTGTTTCTTAGCTTGAAGAACAGAAGCGAAGGCAGAAGATAGAAATGTGGGAAAGTATGCAAGAAGGAAAAAGTTATAAAGGAAACCTGAAACTGAGTCAGGTAACAACTGTGTTGTTAATCAGGTTACGTGCACGTAATTAGATCAGCTGAAGTTCACACTGACTGAGTTCTGAGCAATGTTTGCTTTGGTGAACAGCAAGAAGCAGAATCTGGTGCCTCCGCCTCATCAGCAGTCCCGAAATCTAAACCAAACAAGAAGCCCTTGCGAGGAGGTGGTGAGTATGAAACCCTTGAGGTGTTCTGTCTTGAGGCACAGCTCGTGTTGCTGTGCACAAAGCCGTTACATAATTACCCATCATTTTTCTCTCATTCAAGGAGGAAACAAAATGTGCCTTACGAGTGAGTTCTTTAGCTCTACCCACTGTGGTCTGTTTGAATTTTGGGCAGAGCAGCAGGAAGCTCCCTCGTGCTTTTCCCCAGGGAGAGACAGCATTTTGGCCATAACTCACTGAGATTGTTGTGACTCAAACTACAGGCTCTTGCAATACTTCTGGGACTCCTCCTTCACTGTTTGAAAGCCATCTAATTCCATTTGGTCTGTCCTTTAGTCACCTGCAATAATAATGAAGTGTAAGAAGAAAATCTTACTTTGTGTTATGTAGATTCCGTCCACTGAAACCTTTCCCTAAGAAGAATGTGGCCTTGTTTATCAGTGTTGAGGTAACGACTGCTGGATGCACAAATCCTGCTGACCCATAGAATGGCTGCCAACCACCATTACTGTCTTACCACCACACTTAATGTCAACCACTGAAATTTGTCTTGATGGATTAATTACTTGTTGTCTGTAGCCTTAAATCCTCCACATAAGGATCACTGCTGTGAATCAGCTGTGCAGCTGTTGTCCTTTCTCTCCTCTTGGCCTAACAACTTTTGCTATACTTGCAATTGTTAATTTATCATAATTTAATAATGATTTTTCCACAGTGGATTGGATTATACAGATAAACCTCAATCACAACAAGGTAAAAGGGAAATGCACTTAGGGTGCAGGAGTGAGTAAATTACATGATTGAATGTATTGAACCCTATGATTCTTGATTAAAGAGTATTGCATCTCAGTAGCAGTTCAGTGCTGAGTTCTGCTTTGAGCACCCATACCAACAGCTGCTGGCAACGTTTGAAGGAACTGTCTGATGGATTGATTCATCCTTTATATGCAGTCGAGTGTCTGCTGCTGCCCAGTATCTTTTGTAGCTCCTGCACAGAACACTGACCACTACAGGGATGAGAAATGCATGCTTTCTCTTAGCACATTTCCTTCATGTGCTGGGAAACATGACTGGGGCAGCTGGGCTGAGGCATCCTTCCAGATGCTACCTGTCCTAGTTTCAGCTGAACAGAATCATAGAATCATAGAATCTTGGCTCAACTAACAGATTATAGAATTAGAGGTCTCTGATCTCCTCGTGAGTTAGCTACGGATGAAGCAAAAGAACCATCTGTACTGTTCAGCTGCTGAATTGAGCTGGAAAGCAGAACTTTGCTATATGAGAAAAACGAGCTTCAAAGACAAAGTTTCAGAAAGACAGGTTGCTTTGAAACCTGCTCGTTAGCAAGGCTAGCAGCAGGCTTCCCACTTTCCTTTACCTTGTACTGAGTGAAGGTATTTGCCACGTTGAATCTTTCCTAGTACTTACTCATAACATGAAGTTGCCTGTAGCTGTGGCAGTAGGAGGTTCAGCTGAAGTGGCTGTTTGCCTCACTGCACACGTTTGCCTTTTCTAATTCATTTAAAGACACGTCTTACAGTTTTTTGACCTTTAGAATATTCCATGCAGGACAGGAATAAAAGATGATTTGAAGATGGTGACAGAGTTGGAACAGGCTGCCCAAGGAGGCTGTGGATGCCCCATCCCTGCAGGCATTCAAGGCCAGGCTGGATGTGGCTCTGTGCAGCCTGGTCTGCTGTTGGTGACCTGCACACAGCAGGGGGTTGAAATTGGATGATCATTGTGGGCCTTTGCAACCCAGGCCATGATTATTTGATGTCCTTAGCTATTCGGGCTCTTGGAGGACAGATAAACCCTTACTGTTCTGCTGCAACTGCAGAGCACCATTAAGGCTTTAATGCAGACTTAGAGGAATTAAGTGGCAATTAATTTCAATTTAATTTAATCCCCGTGGTCCAAGTAGAACACAAACATTTTGCAATGGCTTTTACCATCAGCACTATAGAATGAACCTTCTCAAGTCTGGATAATTTCTCTGTTTTCCTTTTCCTCATTTTTTCCTTGAGTTGCTCCCCGTGCAATAAGGTGCAAATCATTGTGAAATTTAATTGTGGCGTTCCACGCGTGTTGGCAAATTCCTGTTGGCTGTGACTGTGGATTTCTCATCTGTCCTTCCAGGCTATAACCCCCTGTCTGGAGAAGGAGGTGGAACTTGTTCCTGGAGACCAGGCCGTAGGGGCCCCTCTGCAGGTGGATGAGGCTAACCTGCCTGGGGTCCCTTCAGCTTACCCACTGTCTGCTGCCTACAGTTTGCTGTCACACTGACTCCTTTGGGATTTGTTTGAGCACAGGTGTTAACACAGATTCACACCATTTCTGAATATTAACAGCAGCTACACGAGAAAAATACCTGATCCTCTAAGAGAGGGTGAAGGAAGAAATAATATCAGTGTAATTAGTCACTTTGTTTTCTCTTTAGTGAGGAAGTAGCCTCCAGCCAGGAGGATCATTTGTGGTTGTGAGAGCTGGGTTCCATGGCTGACCATCCAGAAGTCTGGCCTCAAGCAAATCAATGTCTAGACCTCAGTTTACCTGCTTAACAACGAGGGGCTTCGCCAACCTTACATGCATGCAATGGGATTTACTGTGTTTGGCTGGAAGATACATGGGAGGGAAGAATATTATCATTGGCAGACAGGTTCAATTTTAGAAGGAGGGCCTTTGAGGAAACCTGGATGAACTGACAGATGCGTTGGGTTTGCACCAGAAGCTCCTTATTGTGGAAGAGGCTCTGTGACAAGCAGCTTTGTATGATGTTTTCCTTATAAATGGTGAACAAACCACTGAGGATTACTGATGCTAGGCAGCAGATGAGGGTTTCTTGCTATTCTTTTTATTTTCCACTGCTTTGTAAAAACGATACATTAATATTAAATATAATTGCAAACAAATCATGAATGTAGTATTTACAATCTTGTGGTTTTCTACAGCATCTTTTTATATGGAAGGCATATGTTCCTGTGCAGTGAATGTGGAGGAAGAGGAATGCTGAAGCGTTTTGTATATGTGTGTGAAGCAAAACATGTGAGATCAAATGAAATCGTTTTCAGTTGGTTGTCTCCACAAACAGTGGCTGTTTTGTTGGCTTGTCTTTAAGTGATTCATTTGTTTTTTAACCGTTTTGTTTTCCTCAGGTGTTCTGTGTTCAAAATTGTGCTTTCTAGAAGAATCACCTTCAGTTAAGACCAAATCAGACTTCCTCGAGCTTAGCAAGTGCAACTCCCCATTGCCTTCCCCACCTGCAGTGATTGTGACACGGGTAGGCTGGGTTAGTAGCTGTTAGGCACTTCATCCTAGCTGAATTTGAATGAAGAAAGTAGACAACAAAGACTTTTGCTCTTAGCAGAGCCAAATTTCTTTCCAAATTGCTGCTAACAAATACAGTTTGAGGAGGAGAGCATTCACAAGCATGGTCAGCTTGGACATGGTCAGCACTTTCAAAGGGGAAAGAGCAGCCCGACCTGCCCTGAGCCCTGTGTGGTGCCTGTTTTCCTGGCAGCAGGACTGCACTCAGCACTGGCCATGTGGTGTCAGGGTTTCACCTCAGCAATGCAAAGAGCTGCTGCTCTGTTTTCTGTTCTGAAGGTGTCTCACAATGTGAATTGATGGCCTGGCTGCATGGCTGTCCTGAATGGCCCTGCTGGATTCTGATGTGTGTTCTTACCTTGCTCTCAGCTTGTCTAGCACAATCAGCTGTTGTTCTTTTTCCCCCTGAAAAGAGCCTGTGACCACCAAACGTGTAACGTGAGAGACTGTACGGGACCAATAGCAGAAGCACATGGGGTCTTCATCCTTCTGACATACCCAGCAACACGGACAGAAAATAAAGTTGCAATCGGTCATCGTAAGAATGCTTTTCTCCCCCCCAGTCCCCTTGTTACTCTTTCTGGCACAAATGCAAAAGATGACTAAAATCCAGGCTGTCCTTGGTGAAGAATGAAATAGCTCCCATCTGTGTGTGCCTGACTGCTGGGTTTGTAGGTAGGCATTATGTTTGTATCAGTACCTTGTTATATAGTTTAGGGCTGCTTGAGAACTTGCTTCTAAATGCTTATGCTTGCAAGGCCTTGTCAGTGTGTATGATGGCTAGCTTTGAATACACTGTGTGTAGGTACAGTTTCCTTACTGATCCGTGGTTTTCTGTTGGCTGTAAATAACAGCAGCATATTGCTGTGAAGTTTTAAAGTTGCCAGCTAACAAAATGGAAGAAGGAAGAACCTTTTACTCCAGACCTACGGGTGGGTGTTGTAACGCACAGAGAAGATGAAGTGAAATGGAAATCCTTGAGGTGTTCTATCTTGAGACAGAGCTGCGTGAGTTTTTTCTTACTTTCCTTACTTCTGTACGTTTTGATGCTTGAATTTTCCTTACTGTAACAGAGTGCAGTGTGAGAACTTCAGGTTTTCATCTACATTAAAACAAACAGAAAACAGAGGCAGGGAAAGATTTTTCAAGATCTTCATCAGTAAAAACAACTGGGTTGTCTTGTGCCTATGGCAAACTCCTTCCCCTTGAGTTTGGGGAAACAAATAACAGTCTTGGAGCTGTCTTCAGAAAAACATTTAGGGCAGATTGCTGTCTTAGAGAGATACAATTCTTTGTGTTGATAAAATGGTGAAGATGGGTTGATTTAGTTCAGTAAAAACATCTAAAGGAATAAATGAGCAGGTCTGAGCTGAGCATATGCTGATCTTTCCCTGTCTCGGGTCTTGCTTCTGGCCAGGACTGGGGTTGTGGGTTTCTGTCCAACTCTAAGATATGGAGTCATATCCAGAGAGCACAGTGACTTACATATTTCTTGAAACTTCATTTTTCTCTCTTCCTTCCCCCTCCCTCAACTTGCAAGTCCTTGCATTTTTCATCATCAGATGCTTCAAAGCTACTGAACAGAGTGGGAGGAAGAACCTCAGTTTGTAAAACCTCTGCCTCATGAATTATGGAAACAGGCAGAAGGGTTTTTTTTCTCTGACTTCAAATAGCAGCTCTGCCTTGACCACAAACAAGTCTGGTTGCTTGTTGCCTTGTAGCTGTTGAGTGAAGCATGCAGAAAACATTCTATGATAGTGAACTCACTCGTAAATCTGTTTTCCTGCTTTGGTATGAACTCCCAAGAACTTGCCATTATGAAAGATATATTAAAAAGCCTTCAGGAGAGTTCTTTTTTTTTTTTTTTTAATAGCAGTTTTGCAAGAAGCCTCTTAATCTACTGATGCTGATGTTCTGGAAGCATCTTCAACTGGAAGAAACTAGACAACAAGCTTAGAGCTGATACAATGGAGTTAAAATGCTGCTTATCGTGGTACTTAACAGCTGAACAGGAATCTGTCTTGAGCACTGAAGTATTCTAAGACAAGCAGCTAACTTTGGTGGGACAAAAACATCCTGAAAACGGTGGTTGCTTGAGAAATACAGATAGGCTGACTTCCATGGCCTTTCAGATGCGTTATATGCTGGAGAAACTTAAAGTTGCAGGTGAGGTCTGATCTGTGCATAGTTCTGTTAAATATTCACCAACAATTCCGAGTCCTGGAATTGAACAAAAACCAAATCACTTAAAATTTGTTTGGATTTACTGAGGCCTTTCAAAAATGTTATGACCTGAGGAAAAGCTGGAAGGAGCTTGTATTGCATTGCATGCTTAATTGTTGGCAGCAACAAAAGGCGTTTCTGAGAGGAGATGTTTTTGGTAGTGAACAGCAGAAGGTGGACTCGAGGTGAGGGCAAACAGCAAATCTGTGAGCAGAGCTGCTGCCAGGCATCCCGCCGTGTTACCCAGACATCATGGGAGTGGAAATGATCGCTTTACTCCTTTCTGTGGAGAAGTGCAGTTCCAGCAGAGGCTGGATGCAGATGTGCTGCAATGAGTGCTAACAAGTATTTCACTGATGTATAAAGATGTGTACTATTTTGTACTATTTGGACCCTAAGCTCTGTATCTCATGGGACCAGGCTGTTCTGCTGCTGCTCTGTGCCCTGAGCCTTGGACTGTGCTGGTTCTAATTCACGTGCTTGGATTGGGTTGGTTTGTCTTTGAACCATGCTAACACTTTAATTCCTGCCTTCTGCACTCAGTGAGGCTGTTCCCAACCCTGGCAGTGGCATTTTATTCAGGACTGGCTGACAGCTGCTCATATCTCTGCATCAGATCCACTCTGTGAAGGATCTTTGATGTTGTCCAGGGTGCAAAGCCACACCGTTAGCCAAGAGTGGGGCACAGCGTGCTTCTGTCCACGCTATCACTGAACCCTAAAACAGTACAATTCCCAACTGTAGAAGAAATCAATCTAAACTTGAGTAAGCTGAAAATGTGGGTTTATTATTTTTTTCCCCTTTTTGGAATAGAAGCTTAGCTTTTGGAACAGCTCTGCAACCACAAAGGCAGAGCACACGGCTGCTGTCTGGGCGGCGTCCTGGCCCTGCTGCACTGCTGTGTAGCTGAAGTGTGAGCTTCCAGCCCAGCTGTTCCAGTGCTGGCACACGGCCTGCCTGTATTGCCAGCTCCAGAGCCAGCATCTTCCAAAACTTCCATGAGTTTTTATAAAGCAAACAACGACTGCAATGGAATAGGTCTCCTCAGCTTGGTTTTGGGGCTGACCCACGTGCAAACACATGTTTTGTTGCAGATTTCTGTCCTGATGGGCTGGTGGATATGCAGGCTCTGCTCTGATTCATCTGACTTCTGATGGCTTTAGTTTTGAAACGCGTGCCTGCTATGAGGCATTTTCAGCACAGAGCAAAATCTGCAGTGATAAATGAATACTTTCATTCCTTCTTCTGTCTCTACCACGGTTTACAAACCGAGATTCTTGCTGTGTGCTACGTAATGAACTGTGGTGCTGCAAGGGCAGCAGCGACCAAACGTGGGAGCTGCACTGCGGTGCTGGGCCGTGGGATGGCAATGTTGTCCTGGCTTGAGAGCAGGCAGCAGCTGGTGACATTTTCCTGTCCCTTGAACGTGTGCCTTCCGAGTGATTCAGCTGAGAGAAGAAATGAGGATTGGTCCGTGTCAAGGGATGAGATGAAAAAAGTGGGTGCTGGAACTGAGGCAGGAGTTTCTGCATCATTCAGGAAAATGCAGTGCTGCTGGAAATACTGTGACAAAGACAAATGCTGCTGGTTGCCCAGCTAGATTTTTTCCATCGTGAGTCTGTTACCTTGAATGTATGAAGTATGCTCATTTTCCAGTGTCTGGGTAGATTTTACAGTATCGGTTTAAGTACTGGAACATTAATAATTAAAGCTGCTGGAGTACTGGGAAACTAGTTTGTTTCTTAAGTACGATTTAAAATATGTTAAAAGATGCATAGGGTAGAAGGCACATCCTGTAAGCGGGCTCATGACTGTGGATGTGTTGGCAATTAAAACTGATGGGGAAAAGGATTATCACAGTGCAAGACAGTCTCTCTTTCCTATATAGGGTAATGTCCTCTACGTGGAAGAAACTTCCTCCTGTTCTGCTCCTTTATTCCAAAGGACAGCATCTATACTGCACGCGTACAGAACAGTTTGCTGCTTTAAGTGCATGGCTTTCTCTTCATTTAAAAATAGGATTACTGTTTTGTTCATCTGATGTGGAGTCCAAGCTGCACGGGGCTGTCGAGGGGGCTCTCCTGTTGGTGTGTGTGCTGATCTCACAGGAGCAGTGGGATGGGAGCTCGGAGGTGTGCTGCATGCATGCAGTGTGCGTCCTCTTCAGACTTGGGAGAGCCCTCACAGTATTTCCTCAAGCAATCCCACAAAATCTGCATGCAGAATAGAAAGCACACTGCATAAAAATCGGCATGTTTGTGCTTGTATGCACATTTACGTTAGGAGAATGCCTCACCTTTTATTTTATGCTAGCAATAATGCATAGCATCAAATATTTGTGAAGACTACAGGAGCTGTGCTA